CAAGGTAAGGTAAGGTCTTACTGAAGTTTGGAATTCAGTTTCATGCCAAAAAATGCACAAGGCCGGTGTCCTTCTTCTTTATACTTATATTTGTGTCTACCTGCTTAAGATTAGGCAATATAAGATTATTCATATTAAACCAATTTACAGCCAGTTGCACAAACGTCCATTAAATTTTCCTTTAGTTTAAAGTGACATTACCCATACAAATTAGACATTCATTAGAGCTTAAAGGCGTCATTAAACTTTAATGGACGTTTGTGCAACAGACCGTTACTACCTCCTTATTTAAACCAACTTAAAAATTGAAAAGGACCAAACCGTTGGTTTTCGACATAAAACAACGATAAATAATTTGTTTTATATATAGAGAATTATCTTTGGGTAAAAGGATATGGACATTTTCATTGATATAAAAATAAAATCATGAAATTAGACACTAGCGCCGTCTATGACTTTCATCTCAATTTATCAGTAGGTAACTGGTTTCCTAAGCAGCGCCATCTAGTGAAATCATACTAATCCAATAAGTACCCTCTTGTTTTCTAGATGGTTCTAGTGTTTTCTTATTAGGGCCCTCAGAATAATTTAAATTAAAACCATAGTATTAAAACCTACCTAAACTGGACTAGAATGTAACGTATGAGATGTAAAATTAAAAATTAAATTAAAAATTTGGTGAAACAAATGCACGAAGGTGGTATAATGTGACCTAACAAATACAAACTTCTAGTTTTTATTTTTATAGAGAAGGTAACTTTTTGAATTCCTTTCATCTACATTTTTTATCTCAAATAAATCCGTTACTGGCCATCTGTTTTTTTTTTAAATTTAAGTATTTTATTTATATGGATACTATTTTATTCAATTAGTTCGTTTGTTTTTCTTATCAGTCAGTATCTTTGCAAAACATAATGTGTCTATGTGCTATAGTGTTTTTGAACAAGCTATTTTTTTGCAAATTTGTTTGGTCCATAACCACTAGGCAAATATTATTTTTCATATTTTAGAGGTTTTCGAAGTCTACATGAAATTAATCTATATAAATTGACTAGCTTTTGTACGTAACTTTATCCGCGTAGAAGCCGAAAATGGCTTTGATAGGATTTTAAACTTTTTTTTAACGTATAAATCATCATTTGATTACTAGTAAAATATAATAATCATTATTATAGTATGGGGACTTAAAAGTTACATGGAAATAAAATAAAATTTTCTGATATTCTATGAACACGAAGTTCGGCGTTTGATATGGTGATAGGTTATTTCAGAGATTTCTGAGAATTAATGAAGAAAAATTAAGGATAAGTTAAGTTTTTCATTTAAATATCAAAGAACTTTTTTACCGACTTCAAAATCGAAAACGAGGGAGGAGGTTATATATTCGATGGCAATGTATGATTTTTCTGCTAATATTTTACCGATTTTGAAAAATCTTTTTTGTTTTACATTTGATATTTTTAATTTTAGTATAATTATAAAATATCAATATTACTAAAAACACGAATAAGTACGTTTTTTTCTTTAAAAAAATAGAACTGAGTTCAATAGCATTTTCTGGAAGGAGTCAATTTTGATATAAGTATTTTTTATTACTTTCTTAATTTGAACCTGGTTCTATTTTTCGAAAAAAGTTTTTGCGATTTTAAATGACATATAAGTAAGTAATTTTTGTGTACAATTCCTCTATTATCCATAAGAGTATTTCACGCAAAAAAATCAAAATGGCGTATTTTGAATTCCTATAACTTTGGTTATATTAACATCGATTTAAATAAGTCGATATCTTTATAAAAAACAAATTATCGCCTTTAAGAAAACTTTTAACCTTATAAAGTGAAATAATTCTTTTAATTTTATTTGCTACCTGGAGCTGGGCGCTAATGGTAGCACTTCGGTTATTTTTTATACTACCGCGACTATTATCGTTCACTATACTTATGTTAAACTATGTGATCCAATAAATACATTTTTATTATTATTTTTTTTTTATTAATCGGTAGTTAATATAATCAATATAAAACTTTGGGCTAACTTCAACAGAAGTTTTATGAATTATATGAATCGCTTTTAAAATAATTACCCATTATTCTTAAATTTTTTAAGTTTTTTGATTTCAGTTTAATTTATTTTTTATAGTTTGAAATTTTTTGGCTCCGTATGTTATCGTCTCTTGACAGACATATCATGCAGATAACCAAATACAATAAGTTCTTTTCGCTTCACTTTCACCTTTGTCGATTAGTTTTGTGAGCTGGCGGAATATGTTAATTTGGACTAAGACATACTCCTTTGTATTTTTTCTACGTCGTTCGCTTACGTAAACTTTTGCTTATAGCAAATTTTATTAGAACTTATTTATATGCAGATGTAATGCATTGTATTTAAGTGAAAACGAATTATTCATGTTGATGAGCTTTGCTCTCTTCGCCTCCTTCCACCTTCTTTTTAAAAAAATACGAAATGTGGGTGCCTCATGATTTGACTGATCTGCAGAAAGAAATGTGTGTTGAAACTTGTGTTGTCTTGTTGAATCGGTACAGAAATTAAGAAATGTTGGATCGAATTGTGACATGTTATGAAAAATGGATTCTTTATGATAACCGTAAAAGAAAAATTCAATGGCTCTCCACAGGTCAAACGCCACAGCAGTGTCCTAAAGTAAAACTTATCAATAAAAAGGTAATGGTAGCTGTTTGGTGGTCTCAGCGTGGTGTTATTCACTATAGTTTTCTCCGATCTGGTCAAGCAATAACGGCAGATGTCTATTGTGCCGAACTCCGAACACTGTTGGCAAAACTAGCAGTAAAACAGCCTCGACTCATGAATCGATCTTCACCATTATTGCTCCATGAAAACGCGAGACCTCATACAGCACGAGAAACCGTTTTGACCCTTCAGGAATTGCAGTTGGAAACCATTCCGTATTCGCCAGACCTTGCTCCATCGGACTACCATTTTTTTCGTCATTTGGACAATTATCTACGTGACAAGAAGTTTTCATCCCGGGTGGCAGTACAAAATGCTTTTACACAGTTCGTGCAGTCTAGATCGTCAGAATTCTATCGCAAAGGCATAAATGAATTTCCTATTATACGGCAGCAATGTATAGATAATAATGATAACTATTTTGATTAAATAAATTTGTAAAAAATAAACAATTTTGATTTTCAGTACAAATCGGCAAATTTACACTTTAACCCCTATTATTTGCTAGGTCCGAGAATACGTTGTTATCTATTTTGTATACCATTAATTGTCAAGGGTGGTGCACCCCAAATTTATATAACAAAACAACGTTTGCCGGGTCAACTGGTGATAAATAAATAAAATATAATTATTTTATTTATTAAAATATAATTATTTTATTTATTAAAATATAATTATTTTATTTATTATTGCAAGTTATATACTCGTATGTCACAAAAACTATCGTTCTTCACAGCAGAGCGCTTTTAACGGTTAATAGTTATAAAAAGTTATTATCATGGCAAAAATGAATTCCAATCTTCAGTCCCATTGCGTAAGAGCTATTTTGAAAAGTAACATGTGTAATTTAATATTATAAGTCGTTATTAAGTATTTAAAAGATATTATTCGTTATTTTATAGCGGGTTCTTCTTTAAGTGGAATACTTTAAATACCGTTGTTAAAATAGTGGTAAAGAATGATGAGTCAACGGACTAGACATGCTTCTTTGTACATTCGAGACCAACAAGGTCTTGGTCAAACAAAATATTTAAATAAAATCTAAACAAAACCAGAAATCTATTCTTTAAAACTATCATTATTATAAATGTTTGTTCTAGTACTAAAATTATTACCAAATAAATAATTATAAAAGTTCAAGGTCTTTGTTGAAGTAATAAATAAAAAATTGTAATAATGAATATTAGACAACATCACATACATTGCTCAGATTCCAAGATGAGAAGCTAAAGTCCCCGTAGTATGGAGTATATGAGACGACGAAGGTACCACAACATCCAGACCCGAAACAAATTTTCTAAGAAAATTATTTTTTATGTCGACGAGAATGGATCTCGGAACCTAATGGCGACTTTTTGAAACTGGCGAGCTATCCACGGAGTTACTGTTGACTACGAGTATGATTACAATTTATGATGTTTCTATAGGCGTTAGTTTTCTTAGACAAATAAATAATCTTTCGAGATATTTTGATAGGAATTAGAATTTTTGAAAATAAAAAAAATATTTCTTCAACCTATTTTATATGTGGTTTTTCTGAGTCGAATAAGACTAACTGTCAAATATTTGACAAGCTTTCCAAAAATGAAGCTTTGTTTGTAAATGTCTAGTTGCCTAAATATTTGTTCCACTTTGGGGTAGTTGAGTAGTAATATAAATTAATTAGCAATGTTTACTGTCTATTAATTATTAAAATAAAAATAAAATAAATACTTTTGTTATTAACAGTACAACAACATGCGCGGTGACAGTCAAGCTCGCAAGTTGCTTGTCACTGCTTACATTACTACACCAGTGAAGGAAAAGATATATTCGCAGAGTGGAAAGTAGGCATTTTTATTTTTATTTTGCACCTTTACAAATATTTAGCGGAACTTAAATATTTTCATTAATATATTCATACCAGTACGCGTCATTTTATAGCACTTTTCAACCCGCATAAAGTCAAATTGAAAAGCGCGAGAGTGAAGCTTTTCTAAAATTTAAACAAATTTTCTGACAAAGTTAAATGGATATTCAAAGACGTTGCTTATTCAAATGTTTGTTCTTTAAAAGTAATTATTGTGTTAGGTATTTTTATATCAGGAGTTTTGATATTATTAAGCTACATTAGCAAAGTTTTGCAAATTGAGTTTAATTTTATAATAGAAAATACGAGTATATTTGGTATGTGTTAAAAACAATCGCGTCTACATTTTATAGCATAATCAAATCTATGGTCGACACCAATTTACTGAACGAACGTCTTTGCGTGTATGTGTGTGCGGCGTCTGCGCCTGCACGTTCAGTCCAGTCATCGGCCGGCGGATCGCGCCGTATGGCCGCGCCATTTAAAAAATTAAACTCATTCGTAAAATTCGCGATAAACTTTGAATATTTTTTTATTAAATTTCAAATTTAGTTGATTTATCGAAACTTTTACATACGACACTAAAGGTACGTTATTCTTTATTTCGTATTTATTTTTAGTTAAGAAGACATTATTTACTCTTTTTAAATTTAATAATAAGAAAGTCAACGTTCTCGTAATATCTTACATTTTGTAATATCTTATTATTATAACAAAATATTACTATGCGTTTTTTATAATTTCCGTTTACATCAAAATTTAATATGTAGGTACGAATTATAGAAGATTAACAAACAGTTTTATTAAATATTTATGCTTACTTTAATTATTATATTTGGACAAATTGAATAGATCGTAGAATTTGCCTAATTCATTTCCCATAAATAGGAAATGGGCAATCGTAACATGAAATCTACTACATGTGATTTCACGATTTGGACATTGTTTAGTAAATCATGTAATTTTTACTGTATTACTTTAACTTTATAGTCTATTATATTAATTTGTAGCAACGTATGTTTTTGTTATTGGTTGTTAATGTTTTCTCATATGCATCTCTGCACGATTCTCATGTGGATTGCAGTTTCGTAATAATGTCAAGGTTTCAATTCGATTATAAGCAGAATGTGTGCCTGGTTCTCGTATGAGACACTGAATTAAAATGAATTTCCTTATAATGTATTATGTGAGTCACATTGTTTTGTTACTAGATAATTCTGACTTCGATCCTTATATAATTTTAAAAAGGAAAAGGAGAGAATTTTCGATTAAAAGTTAAACTAAAATGATCAAAGAACCAAATAATCGTTGACAAATTATCTATAGTCAAAATGTCAAAATGTCTCTACTTTTGATATGTAGCACTTCTCTATAGATGTAATCGAATATGAAGATTAGGCCATAAAGTCCACGTCGGCGGTGTGGTGCAATGGTGAATTTAACACTTGATAACGAAAAACACTCTTTAATGGGTAATAATAATAAATTTTATCACAAAAATAATATCCTTTAATTGAATTTTGTTACAAATTATATTCAGTCAGAATTTCTCTATAGATGTGATAATGCAATCAAAAATCATACGTGTTGATAATTTTTTAATCAAATCCGAATAATCAATTTACAACAATACTGAGTGAAGAGATATCAGAAACTGTAGAATATTAGGATCACCGAGACCGTGCAGCTCATCTGCAGTATCCGCATTGGGCCCGTATTGTTTTCTTGTGGCCCGTTCTCCTTATTCGATCCCATCTTGTGTCCCATCAATGGAGACAGTAATAGGCTGGATATGATAATCGAGACAAAGGAAATATGCATTTTTTTACGATCGTATATCAAATCCAGGATCTCGAAATGACAACAGAGAAGAGAAGTCATCAAACATATTTAAAAATTTTGGGCAAATTATATTTTGCCTAACAAATCTGTTCCTTCTGCTTGCTTATTCTGTAAATAAACCGCATTGAACTCGACGTCCAGCGCAGTGTCGACATAGTACAGAGTTTTTAATTAAATAAAAAATGTATTAACGTAAGGCTATTTTAGAGATCCCCAAAAAATATCACATTAACGTTACCTTAAAATAAAACGGTTATTCCCCTGACACAGTCTGAAATTTCATTTATCAACTATGCAAATAAATTTTAAGAATATGAGCATTTTATGCAAATTGAATGACGATTTATGAAGTCTCGATTATGAAATCCGGTATTGAATCGAGAGGATCTAATCGATGTCTGTGTAGGTGTACACACGGCTGCACGTGAAACTACTACAATATGACAAATTATCGCAACTGATTTTAAACAGCGAAGTTTTTTGGTAGATTAACATCCTGTTACACAAATGTCCATTAAGATATAATGACGACTCTTCTACCTCCGTTTCGTTTCCCATATAAATGCGCATCAAAAGTAAAGACGCGCTCGCTTGAATTCATATTTTTAATCACAAAAAAAAATACAGTAAAAAACAATTCTTTCGATAATTTCAGATTAAATCAAAACCTATTTTTAAATAGCTATTATGAAATATATTATACGTAAAATTGAACCAAAAAAACCTACTTAGAGTCATCTGAGAGACTTTTTTTGTCGAGGCAATTATTGAAATTTGTGTACCTGATTATATTTTATAAAATTAAGCATATATTTTTTATATGCTTAATTTTCATAAAATTATTATTTGGCAAATAGTAGCCTTAGAATAAAATTGGTTAAAAGTGATAATTACTTAAGACCTAGCCTTAAGCTGTAATGAATGTTGAAAATTTGTAATGTCCCTTTAAACTAATGACAATTTTAATGGACGTTTGTGCAACATGGCTTATTTTGTAATCTATTAATTTCATGGCGTATTTTGTACAAACATCAACTATTTATTCTTTTGAATATTCATATATTCATATTCAAAAGAATAAATAGTTGATGTGTGTACAAAAGTTTATTGATTATATAATCAGTTATAAACTGCTTTAATGTTTTGAATTTGTTTTGATTTAATCTCACTTCAAATGTCACCGACTAATCTCTTCCATTTCATAAGCTATCAAATTTGGCAGATGGCACACCAATTCTATTTGGATTGAATATCAATACCCTATTATCGAATAATTCTGGGAAATGTTACGCCTACCTAAATATTAATGTTGGTAAATGACGTTACGCAGTGCTAATAACTTGGTTCTTAGACCATCTAGAACAAACTATGGCAAGAAAAATATAGAATATGAAGGGTGCAAACTATACAATAAATTACCAAATATTATATAGAATACTAAAACAATGACGAGTTTTAAATAATTGCTTAAATCTTTCATTTAAAGCCACAATCTTTGATAAACGTAACTACATATAAATGCATAGTAAAATAAACAAATATTATAGATGAAAGAAAAAAAAATATAGTCAAATAATAATAACACAAATTCATATGCTATTTTTATAAAATAATTAAACGGGTCATAAATAGTTGAACGGATTTGACAGTACATGAGTTATATATATATAAAGAAATTGTTTTGTCTTATTAACAGTTTTAGATATTTTAAATGCCACATCTAGATGCAGGGCAGATTAAAAGCTTCGCACATCTATGTATTGCACAAATACTTAAGACTACCTTCTTTACTTGAAAAAAATATTTTATACAGTGATTAAAAATCCAATTGTACGTTATGTTTTTCTTGGTGTTAAAATTGTGTATGTGTTGCAATTCTCAGTAAGTGAATTTTTGTAATTCTTTTGAGAATAAAGATTTGTATAACCGTAAATCAATCTACACGTACCATTATTTATTGGTTGGGTATTCAAAACGTATTAAAATGTTTTAATTAAAATAAATTTTTTCTTCCTAATATTTTAAAAGTAGAGCTTAGTTTATTTCGTAAGTTATTTTGCAGGAAATGTATTAAATAAATGTACAAAAATATGTAACGGATGTCTGTATGGTATAGAAGTTACGTATAAATCTAGCAAATATTATCCTTAATTCACAACAGTTTATAAAAAGCTCAGGATTTACCAATAAAAGTAAGACATATCAAGTGATTATTTCGAATATATTCTACCCTATGCACCACATAATAAAAAAAACTATGCACCTGTGAGTGTATATAGTTTTAATGCTGTTAAGTCCCTGAAACAGCTGTAAGTTGTATATTAATTATTAACTTATTTGATAGTGTTTTATCCTTGTGTTAAAAATAAGCATTTAGATGTCAAAGTTTACTTAATAAATCTGTAAAAATTTATACCGTTCTAGATACGTGAACAAAGCTCTAAGTCATTATTAATTTTCATATGTATTAAGGAAAGTTTTTGATTCTGTCTCTAAAGAAAAGAGGATAAAAAGGTTTTCATGTTTATAATTAAATTTATTAAATGAAAAAATATGGAAGAGAAAAACAATACGTATTTCCTTATTTTTTATATTCTAATATATAGCCAAAAGTTTAATATAGATAATGTCGATAATATTTTAAAGTTAGACCGAAGTTTTTGTTTAATATGAATAATATTGTTGTGCATCTTTTCTTTTTGCTTGATAACACTAATCTTTAGCGAAAGGTGTTATAAAGGTAATTAAGACCTTATTCATAAGGCCTTCGACCCCGCTCAGGACATCGACTCGTTTCACATTCCGATGATCTTTTTGTGTGTAAGACCAGTTTGGTTATCTGCTGATTATTATGCAAGGAGCTGTACTTTATAGGTGCCGTTCACCGCACTGAGCTAACTAAGCATTATGCACTTTGCACATGCAAATTATTTTCCCTTTTGTCATTATGCGTAGTGTTTTATCACTAATAGAGGCAGATCAAAATAAAAATTGATTTATAATTCACAGTCACGATCGATTAACGAGTAATATTCAGTTAACACTGTAAGAGCGTTGTACTCTTTTAAAAAATAAAAATGTTGTAAGTAAAAAAAAATTGTGCAATTTAAATAAATACTACAGATATTATAACATTAATAATCGTCGGAAATAACTTTAACCATATAATTATTTGGAGCATAAGATTGCTTCATCACACTTCCACGGTGTTTTAATTTCTATAAATTTTATATAAAAAAGTGTACCGCAGTTTCGCAATATTTTCTGGGATATTTTTCTATTTTTTGTTCCTTATTTATATACTACTAGCTTTCGCCAGCGGCTTCGCCCGCGTGGACCCTAGGGAAATCTTTAGTGGGATAAAAAGTATCCTATTATCTAAGTCAGCTAACACCCTATCTGTATACCAAATTTCATCAAAATCCGCTCAGTAGTTTCGGCGTGATTGACGTACAAACATCCAAACATCCAAACAAAGAAACTTTCACATTTATAATATTAATAAGATATTTAAGATTGTAGACCATTATTGTTAACTCACCACACTACTCATTTGATAACAGAATATAATTTATATCGTCGTGGTACCAGCAATAGGATGTATGTCAAAATACTCGCTGTTTACAAGACGGACAAAAAACTAGTTTTTTTCTAAATTTTTTGTTTTTCCGTCAATTTTATAATTTTCTTATTAATATACTGGCAAAAGAGTGTACATAGTGAGAGGAAAGATATTATGTAATAACAAGTACATAAAAAAATTGACATACAACTATTTGCAATGTATTACTGTCTTTTTTGACATACATCCTATTGCTGGTACCACGACGATATTTGCTTCCTATAAGGTGAAAATTTATATTTAAATGTCGGTTATTATATAAATATTAATAGTTAATCTGCCATGTTGTTACCTCTGCGCGAGCGCACCATACAAAATCAGCGGTGTGCGACGAACCAAGACCAACAAGGCCATTCCGCTTACCTTTATAGTCTTAGGATTATCTTACATTAAGACCAGTGGTATCTTCATCTATGATGTACGCAAATCATGATACTTTTAATTAGGATACCTATAAAGTCCATAATTAAAGTCCAAATCTGTAAGAATGATTAGTCGATACAACAACTAAATAGCATTTGATGTTTCATATATGAATTTATATGTACGAATAATAGTAAGTATATTCTGTCTTTTTTAATTGTAAGAAAAATTAACGCAATATCCTAGCCATCTGTGTCTGGATAGACGCAGGGAGTGTGTGGGATTCACCTCTTCAAGTCTATCTGACGAAATAGTAGGCCTCGTGGACCCACAGCGCCTTTTTTAATACAATTACTACAATATAGCCTCCTGTTTGGGGGTAAGCGCTAGAATCTAACAAGCCGAGTTCTCCAGGTGCATTTCTGATTCCTGGATTTCCCTTACCCGGGTGACGGACGCTCAAGTATACAGATATTGAGAATCAAGAAATGTAAGAGCTAGTGCCAAGCGCCTCCGCTGGTTTTAGCAGGGGCTAGTGGTATATAATATAACGAATGAGAATGAGATATATATAACATTGGCCTTACAAAACAAATCTTAAGAAATAGAAATTTAAGTTTTGAAAATACGATTAAAAAGCAAGCTACAATATTTCGATGAAACGTATTATATCCTTTTTCATTTATATTCTTTCGGTAAACGTGTCAGAAACTTCATTGGTCCATGAAGTCAGTGAGTATGTACTTCTGCCCGTTTTTACTTACCTGGAACAAGATATAGCTTAACTAGAAATCACATAATATTAAGAATAATATAAGCAGATTTATCGTTTCACCAAAACTGTAATGTTAGGTAATACCTTACTAATCACTTGCTTATGCCCGTTTTCACTAAACTTAAGAGTCGCCCAAATCTGTCGCTTAAATATTTAGGAATCGCCTGGGGTAAAAATGCATTTCACCATTGACTAGGAACCACCTTACGAAATTAAGTAAAGTCTAAAGTTATGATATTCGTTATGCGGCGCCTTGCGCTAGGCATTTGCGTATATTTCCTAGAGGTTAGCCAAATTCCTGTGCCTCGGATTTTCCGTGCGGACCGGACGACAGGTCTCTGGTGGCGGGAGCATGACAGTGTTCCCGTACTCGAGGTCTTGAATCCGCGAAGGTTACCTTTTCGCCTTGCAACCCTGCTGGTTACGATCGGCGGGGAGGCTCGGAGAGCTGGTAGTGAAGAAAACCGGGGAGTCGGCCGGCGTACGCTGGTGAGGGAATTTTCCTTCTTGCACTCTAGTAGTGGAGCCGTCGGGGCTGGACTGCTCCAGACACCATTCGGTGTGTGGAGTGATCGGGCCTCGGCGGGGCCACTATCAGAGCGTGACTAAGGAACGGAATACCGTTGACTGGTTCGGTGCACGCTGGGCTGGACATCGGTACCCGGGGCTATCGGGGTGAGGGATTCACGAGGGCCTAGCCTAGGTGAACTCCCTCTCTTAGAGAGATGCCCAATCGCGCATCTCTTACCTTTGACAGGGGGCTAGTCTGGCGGGTTAGCGCGCTCGCCAGGCATTGCACGCTCCTTGTCCTGTCTGGGGTTGGACTCGAATGTTCCTGAGCCCTTCCCTAACCCGAGACGGGACCCGCCCTGTTAAAGGGGTGGGTCGTGCGTAGGTAGGCGCGCGGAATATGGTCCCGTACGGGACCCATGCCATGCCCTACTGGCGCGTGAGGGACATCGCTGAGTTTTAGTGGGTAGGCCCCTGCTATTTGACTAGCCCCATACTGGGGCTGGTCCAAAAAAAAAGGCATTAGCGTATATGACCGGTCATAAATATGTCAAGGGATAAAAGAAAAAACTATTTATTTGGAAATAAACTAATCTGCTTAAGCGATTCGTAACATAACGTTTTCTAGTTAAGCTATGCCTTGTTCTAGGTGAGTGAAAATGGCTGTTAGATAGGCAACGTTTGTCTATGATTTTGCACACTTTTCCTTTTCTTTTTTAATGTATGGTATATGTACGTTTATACAATTCCACCAATGTTACACGTTAGTGGCCTTTATACGTAAAGAGACGAGAACAAAAATATAAATTATGATGTAATTAATATTATAAATGTGAAATGAAAAGTTTCTTTGTTTGGATGTTTGGCCGTCAATCACGCCGAAACTTCTGAACGGATTTTCATTTAATTTGGTATACAGATAGGGTATTAGCTGACTTAGATAATTGGATACTTTTTATTATTCCCTAGGGACAACGCGGGCGAGGCCACTAGTGATAATAAAACAAGAAAAAATATACGTGATCTGGTATTTTCGTTGTCCATAGAAAAAGTGAAAACGGGCATTAATAAAATCAGAATTCATCAGTGAATACAGTACATACGGAGATACAAATAAATATGAAAACAAAAACGTATAAGAAATGCACAACGTTTAAATTCTCTTTGAAGAAAAAAAAAGAAAGAAACTAAACAAAATTTTAAAAAGAAAAGGAGATAAATCATTTTTGTCAGCAGATTGACAAACAAAGCCATTTTAAATGTTATTTAGAAGAAAAAATAGATTTTAGAAGACATTTTTGCTGATTTTTAAGTTTTAATTGAAAACTATATGTTTTAAGATTAATTTGAAGTGGATAAAAGGATTGTTTGTAAAAATTTTATTAAAGCTCATGTTTGATATAATACAGTTGTGAACTGTTACTTATTATTAAGTTGATAACAAGGTAAAATTATTATATTGTAAGCTTTGTCATGTCTATAATCTTAGATCAAAACAATAAATTCTTCTTGTTGTATTTCGATTTATTCGGATATTGTGTTTACATCTATGGAAAATTATTTAAGCCACTCAGGTGTCGCGTCATTTATCCGAATTAGTATATAAATTGGTGCTGCCTTGTTTTCAAAAAGTTAAGATTTTACTCACTCTACGGACATTTGCCCACAGCCTTACACCTCTTCACTTACTTGACTTCACTTCTTTTGTAACTTTTATTTATAAAACCTTAACATCTTTGTTTCAGACGATGCTCAAAATAGGCGGTGGCGCGGTGCTCCTCGCAGCGATCATCGCAGTATTTGTAGTGGCCACGCAGGGTCGCGATCCGGAATTGGAAGCATTAGAGCACGAGGGTAGAGAGTACATCTTGCAATTGGATAAAGCTGCTGGCTTGAGAAAAAACAGAGCGAATCTAGCCGAGTGGAATTATACAGCGAATATCACCAAAGAAAATGAAGAGAAATGGGTTAGAGTTCTATATTAATATAGTAAAACATGTTATGATACAATGTTCTGCGAAGTATACTTAATTTATACACAACACAAGAACACTACCAAGAATAAATAGCTATACTAATATTTTCTGTGTTTGTTAGGCTTTTGACTGTTCATAAACAAAGGAATGGGATCTCGATGCGGATTTTACTATTGAATAGAAAATATGTCGTATAAAATATATAATCTGGGTAAAGACGGGCGGGGTGGGTATCTTTTAACTTATAAAAGAGTTTATTAATTTTATCATCATTATTTCTTCTCGGTGACGAATTTTGCCTTTCTTTTCGCCAATTTTTAAGTTAAAACGTAAAATAAATATTAATTATTCAACAACATCACATATATTGCTCAGATTCCACGATGAGTAGCTACAGTCCTCGTATTGTGGAGTATCTGAGACAACGAAGGTAACACACCACCAAGACCGGAGATAATATAGAATAGTCCTTTTTCTACATTGACCCGACCGACAATCGAACCCGGGACCTCAGAGATGGCGACACCTTGAAACCGGTGAACCACTCCGTTACGGAGATACACATTTCTTAAAATGCAATAAACTACTATTACAGATACAACTGAGGCTAGAAATATCGAAGCAGGATAAACTGGCATGGGAAGAAACGAAAATGTACAAATGGCAGGGCTTTCAAGATAATTCACTTAAGAGGATGTTTAAGAAGTACAGCGAGTTAGGTGTGGCGGCGTTGCCTGACGACAAGTACAAGCAGCTGATGAGGAGTGTCTCAGGAATGGAGGCGAACTACGCCACCTCGAAGATATGCTCGTTCAAGAACGAGACTAAGTGTGACTTAGCCTTGGAACCCGGTAAGCTATTTCTTTAGTATTAACAATTGGTGGAAATTTGCCAATGTTGAATGTTGTTAGTGTATGCACGTATAGAATAAAAAACGCAAGCCACGAACATGGGCTTTCTATTAAAACAACTGTAGAATAGGTTTCCAATTATCACGCAAACGCATTACCTACTTCACATAATTATAAGCTATGTTGTTAAAATTCAAAAGGTTGAGAAAAAAAAGAATTCACATCTGTTACTATAATTTGAGATTTTTAAAAATATGAGCAGTCTTAACTATTTGCACTTACAGTAACAATTTACCTTTGGTTACTTTTTAAACCTAATCCCTAATCAATAATTTGAATTGAAATAGAATATTTTTAAGACACTGTATTTCTTGTAAAGTTTCACTCTGGCACAATAAATATTATAGACACAGATTTATATGATAGTCTTTTAAACCATAAATTACGTATTTTTCCTTTAAGATCGGCAGAGATCTGAATTTCCGTTTATTATAATAATACTGGTGCAGACACACAACTACATTTATTAAGATTTATTATATCATTATTGATCAATCGTTTTTTCCTGGTTTATCTAATTACGTCAATAAGCAATTTACAAATAGTGGGTAATACTACTGTTGCAGATATTACGGAGATTTTCGCAAAGAGCTTGGACCCCGAAGAACTGAAACACACATGGGTGGAATGGCACAAAGCTGCTGGTGCCAAGGCTCGTAGCAATTTCACACAGTATGTGCAACTTTACAACGAAGCAGCAAAACTTAATGGTACGTGTTGCGGCTGTTTAATTCCCAAGCATAGTGCATTTCAATTATCCTTAAGGAAAGAAATGGTAGATGTATCTATCTATCTGTCTATGTATGTCCTTACGTCCGATGGAGTAAGCAGAGACGGCTTAATCACGAGGTTCGGTATTTACAAAAATATTTTGCTTCCTTTACGAATATTAATTATTAATCGTGAAATTTCTGATTAATTTGGTCGTGGAACTTGGGTGCCTCACGATTAATTATGCGGAGTCAAAGGTGCAAGGCGAGAATATTTTAAGAAACAGTAAAATTTAAGGAAAACAAAGTAATTCTAATCGAACTTTTAATTCAATGACATTTGAAAAAAAGTAATTAAAAATATATGATTTATATGAAACTTACCACATCGTTGATATTTTAGACATTAATTGTACTTTTACGTAAAAAATATTATATACTTATTGCATATTATATACTTTTAAGCTTAATTTCTTTATTTAAGTTGTAACAAAATACTACACAAAGTAATTAAATAAAAAATGTGACATTCCCTGAGCATTTTATGAGGATAGTATATGTTCCTTTATTATCTTTAAAATGTCTGTATTATCATAAGTTTGAGCTGCAATATTTCAAGCTATATTGATAAGTCTACCTATTATGTATGTTATTCTGATTGAGTCAGTTACTCTTGGAATATTTTGAATCAAATTTACATTTATTACCATTGTATTAGATATTTATTTCAATAAGTTCAGTTACTGGTATGATAGTAGTTTTATCGACTGTCATTAGGCGCTTAATTTTGATGTTTAAAATAATATGTCGCGAAAAGTTTTCAATTTAACTTTTTTTGACTTTTAAATATTAATTAATTATCTATTGCAGGTTATTGGACGGTTATTACGGGTTATTGAATCTTTGATTTTATGACTGATCTAATTACTGCTAGGGTCTTGTCTTTTCTGATGGAGTTTAGCTGCTCAATTATATCTTGTTATATGTTATCTGAGTTGTCTGATATTCGAAGCAACGATCAATGTCATAATATTATTGCATTCATGATGTGCAGATAAACCTCATACGTAGGGTGAACCATATTTTTGGCCGATCCCTCAGCCAAGCCAGAGCATGTAAACCAAAGTCTTCAAGAGAGTGAAGTCTGCACGATTCAATTTATATGGTGGATCAGTTTAGGAAGAAAATTATAGTTCTTCATAATTCTTTTTTCTCATTTCCGTTAGATGAAAGATGATAATATTCATTTCATAATGAAAGCAGTTTTTAAAAATTTAAACAATCATTGTGCGTTTCATTCGTCATGGATTTCATTCTTTTGAATCTAATCATGGATGCATAAGATTAATTTGTTCGTTTCTGCGTCTCAATAAAACGAGTCACGCATGTTGTATTTACGATTACATGTTGGTTTAATTCAAACTAGTTTTCAAACAAGGTTAGGGTATACCTGTACTTTCTAAAATATTCGAAGACTCGACGGAAGGTGGAAGTGTATAGAATACTTGACTGGATACCATTCATGATAATTATAGATTGTAAACGACTAGTTCTGCAGTATATGTTGGGTTACTACAAAGGGCAATTGCAGTCAATTTCGAAAAAATCTTGTGTAACGTGATGTTCAGTCTTTTGCCTATTACTTTCTTCACTTGAATGTAGTGTATTTAGTATATTTTTGGAAAAAAAACCATTTAAGTATATTCTGTCCGAGGTTTTGAACTATATTTATATAAAATTACATCACAATCTTCCCAGCGGTTTAGAAGAGAAAGCGTATTAAACATAATTGATTTCACATTTAAATAAAGCATTAGTTTTGTGTAGTTTAAAATATTTTTATATACACCAATCAAAATATAATATTAGCTAGTTAATTATTATCCTTGAAATTCTAAATATTTCATGCATATCTATAACCACGTACATATTATTTAATATGTTTCTTAAGTTATTTAGAAGATTTAAATAGTTGATATATATGTCTAAAATTACCATTGTTAATAAGTTAGCAACAATGGTTTTTTAATTAATATTAAACGCTAGTTAACACCATGTCCTTATTATTACTATTCCAGATTATAAAGACGTAGCCGATTGGTGGCAGGCAGATTATGAGGTGCCAAACTTTGAGGAGCAGTTAGCCAAATTATGGGACGACGTGAAGCCCCTGTACCAACAGCTACATGCGTACGTCAGGAAGCGATTGAGAGACAAGTATGGTGACCACGTCGTATCTGCAAAAGGACCTATACCAGCTCATTTGTTAGGTGAAACATTACAATAACACGAACATTTTATTGGATACTATTTTAGTGTTATTTGCCAGTTTAGGCAATTACATCAAAAATGTTTCAATTGGTTTTGTTGCAAGAAATTACGTCCAAATAAGCTGAAATTAAAAATAACATCATTTTGATGTTGACAAAACGAGAGTTTATGAAATTTTATTTACAGATAACATTCATAAAGATAAACATAAAATACACATTTTTGAATTTCTTTTCGTAATTATATAAAGTAAATTTAAAGTCTATTCGCCCGTTGACCACTGCACCATAATTTTGTAAGAATTTGATAACCTTTAAGATAATTTAGGCATGATGTGCGAAATTGGGGATGTTTAGATACGGGCATAATTGATTTGTGCTTTAATTATTAAAAATAATTGAAAAATTTAAACACAAAATTTGATGGTTCCAGGTAACATGTGGGCACAGACATGGAACAATATTGAATCGTTCACTCGACCGTATCCGGATAAGAAGGAGTTAGACATAACGCAAGCGATGAAGGATCAGAAGTACACGCCGTTGAAAATGTTCCAAATGTCAGACGAGTTCTTCAGGTCGTTGAATTTGACGGCGATGCCAGAGAAGTTCTGGAAGAATTCTATCATTGAGAAACCTACTGATAGAGAAATAGTGTGCCATGCTTCCGCCTGGGACTTTTACGACGGAGAAGACTTTAGGTACGATGACTGATGAATTCCGAATGGTTAACTAGATTGTGATATTTATGACATTATTAAAATTTTTAATGCTTTTTATTAAAATAACAGAGTTGATGATTTAATTTTTTTATCATGTGAGTATAATAAAAATAGGTTTTTCTTCTTTAAAAATAATTACAATATTTATCGTGTGTTGAAAGCTTTTCTAAGACATTAACAAAATATATCCAAATATTAAACCATAGTACCAATATGTATGTAAGTATAAGCTAAAGATATTTAAAGAGTAAATTCACTTGATTAAAAGGAACGGATTACTAAATTTATATTTAAAAAAATACGCCGCTTTCTTTGTTACATCAGTGATATATGTTAGTTTTTGCTTCATTAACACATTAAATATCTCAACTACAAAAGATATATCTATTTTATTTATTTGAAATTAATTTGTAATAATTTACTTTTATTTTAGTTATATGTGTTTTCGGTTTTGTCCTATTACATTTAAGACTTTCAGTATTGTGGTGATGGAAATATTGCATTAAGATTTATTCCAAATTATCTTTTTTACATGTCTGGCTTTAATTTGAAGGATCAAACAGTGCACCACTGTTGATTACGAATATTTCCAAACGACGCACCACGAAATGGGGCACGTGCAGTATTTCCTGCAGTACAAAGATCAGCCGGTGATATTCAGGGACGGAGCGAATCCAGGTAATTCAAAAGCGTTATGTGTCTAGGATCAAAATGTGCACCAGGGTGGCCGGAGAGCAACTGAGGACTGTACATCACGAGATGGGACACGTTCAATACTATTTGCAGTACAGACACCAACCGTTCGTGTTCCGTGAAGGCGCTAACCCAGGTGATGGTTTTCTCATGCTTGGGATGCTTCATTTCGTGCTTTGGAATAATTTATGATAATTTTGTTCTGCCGCTTACGTTAATGTTTTTTATCATTCCAACTTAACTTGAGTTCTATTGTTTTTGCGGTTGTTTGTTTTGACTTCTATACTTAACTGTGAATACTTCTTCAATTTATATTATTATTCGGGATTACTAGAGTGCAGGTGTATGTTATACTTTTATGTATGTATATTTATTACGTTTTCATTCTCATCTATATTTATAATATTATTTCGGGATATATTCACATCAATTTAAAAATAATGCTTAGTTTACAAGATTAATAACTGTATTATTATCTCTCATTTGTTAATTTACTCTTCTGTCCAATGGGAATTTCTTTATTATTCACGCATTTTATACAAACTAATAGTAATTACTTGTACTTCCAATTTCAGGATTTCATGAAGCAGTGGGTGATACTATAGCCCTATCAGTGTCATCTCCTAAGCATTTACGTAGCATCGGCCTCATCAACGGTGACGCGGAAGATGAACAGACAGAAATTAATCAACTTTACAAAATGGTAATAATATATTTAATTTTCTATGGGTCAATTTATTCTTACAAATTTGGTAAGTCTTGTATTGAGATATTAACTAATTTTACTTATACGCGCTTTGGAAGCTATTTAAAAAAAATCCTGTCTGGATTTTGTTGGCTTAGGCATGGTGTTTGTAGTATTTACAGGGAGGATGATTAATACAACTTTTTCAGGGTATAGATAAAATAGTGTTCCTCCCGTTCGCGTACACCTTGGACTTGTTCCGTTACGGCGTGTTCAGAGGTTCTACGCCTCCAGAAGATTACAACTGCCACTTCTGGAGACTGAGGGAAGCTCTGCAGGGAGTGGAGCCGCCTGTCAACAGGACTGAAGAAGATTTCGATGCAGCTGCCAAGTATCATGTGTCGGCCAATGTTGAATATGCAAGGTTAGTGGATATCATTGAATACCCGCTCGTTCATATATCTTTAATATTCTGAGATTTGAAGAATAAACTAGGATAGTACTGAGGTGCTGATACATACACAGTATCAATCAACTGTCCATAACTAAGACAAGGAGTCTAGGATGCCTGCAAAGATTTTGATGTTATTTTTTTATTTTATTTTTCATTTCTCTTTAAATAAATGTTGTTAGTATAGATTAGTATTGAAAGTGTTATCCTAATGAATTTTTATTGTAACTGTTCCATCCAGTCTTCAGTAATATTTCTTCTATTTTACGTCAGTATTCGACGTTTTGTTACTTTGGAGTTTCGGAGTCAATAGAAGACGTAGAAAGGCAAAAGTCCGGAAGAAAAAAAGACCTATTTCCGTTCCCGCGCTTAACCTGTACTTTTTCATTGATTTATTATTTTGACGACTCACGAATCTTTGTCTTGCAAGATAACACCACTTTTAAGAACCAAAAGACACTAATTTATTGTCCTTGCACTAATATAAAAAAAAAACAACGGACACCATTATGATTTTCTTAATACTCATACTTAAACTACAAATCCTTAATGAGATTGTATGTATGTACGATGTTTTTTTTTTTTTAGCCAAGGAATCGTTCAATAAAATGGCAAGCAAATATTAAATTTTAACCTATCACTTTTCTGAAGTTCCGATATACATCGCTTGATCGTTTCTCCAGATACTACGTATCGTTTATAATCCAGTTCCAATTTCATCGAGCGCTGTGCAACATCGCCGGAGAATATGTTCCCGAAGACGTCACCAGGAAACTAGTAGACTGCGACATTTACCGGAGCGTCGCCGCTGGAAATGCGCTAGCGTTAGTACCTATATATATTTTTTTATGCTGATCTTCTCCACTTTCTAATAGGTTTTTAACGTTAATGTCTTAGGAATTTTATTAGCTTAAACAACTACAGGACAAGCTTATAAAAATAAGCTGAAACCTAATCTAGGTTAGGTTTCATCGATTCCTTAACGACAAATCTTGCGTAGACTATGGATTATTACTCATAATATATTATTTAAATTTTTATAATTTACTTTTAATTTAATTTTTGTAGATGTATACGTCATCTACAAAAATAAATTGTTCCTATCGTTTAGATATTCTAAGCTTTAGTTTTGAAATCGAAGACCAAGGACTAGACCATTTTAAAATCAAACCATCGAGTACATTCGCTCTTTTTATATCTATCGATTAGGCAATTTAATTACTATTGATGATCCATAAGAAATATATTGCTATAATGAAATTTTTGGTTTTTTGGAACTTGGAAATTGGCATTTTTCCTAATAATAAAATATCCAATTGTTGTTTCAGCACCAACTAAAGATGAAATATACAGATTCTAACATAAAGAACAAATACTTACCTGTTCCATTTATATTAGTCCATAGGGATTCAGTGAATTATTTTCACCAGTCGGTCATTTTATTTTATCGGCCAATGAAATGAACTCAAAATCATCGGCCGAACTCTGCACACTGGGCCTGTCGACTAATGTGAATTGTGAATACAAAATTTATCTAGTGACTCTTTATTATTCTATGTTTCGTTAGTAATATGCTGAAGATGGGTTCGTCCAAGCCGTGGCCGGACGCGATGGAGGCGCTGACGGGGCAGCGCGCGATGCGCGCCGACGGCCTGCTCGAGTACTTCCGCCCGCTGTACGACTGGCTGCTCGCCGAGAACCAGCGCACAGGCGAACACATCGGCTGGCAACCCAGCAACATACGTACGTACACACATTACATTGGGCGGCCTGCTCGAGTACATATTATTATTATTTCTCCTAAATAGAAGTGTTTTTTGAATAATATTCTTATTAAATATGCTTAACTATCCATTTAGTTTCTGGCTCTCTGATTTTTAAGCCATTTTCATTAAGAATATTTTGTAGCACTGGTAATACAAAATTGATCAATTATAATAATTAGAACAAATTTCCATGTTTATCGAAGGTTTTAATATTTGTAAAAATATTTCTTTCGGCTGTTTGGGTGGATTGCCTGAACATTGATTAAAATACGCTCTTTAGTAGCGAAAATATAACAAATGCTTAAAAAATTCGTCAGGTCTGATAGTTCCTGGGTAGCTCAGTGGTTAGAGAAGGCGCCCGGATGCGAGAGGTCATGGGTTCGAGTCCCATCTCAATTTTTCCTGGACTAATTTAGTCTTTAATTAAATTATTATTGTACTACAGTTCACGCTCCTGCTGTCGACCACGAACACCTTGTAATAGTGAATCATTTTAGCTATTCTACTGTTATACTCGTGTAATAAATTCTATTTTTGTTTCAGAATATTGTACAAACGAGCAATTGGCGGCGTTAAGTGCGAAGGAGGCGGCACGTACGTCACCCTCCTCGTGACTGCGCGGTACTTACCTTACGTTAGGATAATTTTAGAATGACAGTATTCATAATTAAATGTTTTTTAGTAAAAAATGGTTTATTTCTTCCAAAATTACTCTCTGTTAAATATTTTGTATATATAGATTTCAGGCTAACAGTCCCTGCGATGCCTTTAGAAAGAATAAATTCTGGATGTGTCTGATATAGAACTTTAGTCGAACATTTGTCATACTGAAATATTTGTATATTTCATAAACAGCTAATTTTTCTATTAAAGTAATAATAAAAACATAACTACTAAATGAAACGATTTTAAACGGTTTCAGTGCGTTTGTATTTGCATTCATGATGTTTCGGACGCTTTAGGCTGGTTTTAGTATCACACTGATCGTCGGCGTTGACAGGCCGATATGTATGGGCCCTATAGAACCGTTCTATACTTACGTCGAAGGCTCAGCGTTGCTGAGCGGTCAGCGCTGATTATCGCACGCGTGCCTCTGCCTTCAGCGGGCGCACAGTGGAAAATGGTAGAACAAGAGCATATCAAAAATACTTTTACGAATGTCATAATTTGTTTGATTTGGTGATTTTATTAGGATCTCAAATAATCGAATTATAATATTCATTAAGTTTTTTTATCGAAAATGCACGAAGTTAAATTTTTTTCATAGGTAGAAGTACATAGAAGACGGGAGTGCCGAACTCGAGTCTACGCATATACATGTTTCAAAACCATATTGTGCAATATATATTGGGTACATATATGCAGTATTATACATTTTTGGAAAGGTTATTTCATGCTTATTACGTTACAGCTTTTTAATTTCTAAAGCAGCGACTATTATGTCAGTAAGTAATTAAAAAGTGGCATACCTTATTTTTTACTTTTCTTTTTTTTCATCTAAGGTTTTCAATATTACCCACGGCTCCCCACGCGCAACTTTTTATGTTAATTGATAGTCTAACTATTCAGTAACAGAACACAAAAAAAAACAGCTGCGGAAGTTTGCGGTTTTAGAAAATATAAGAAATAATGTGCGAAAAGTCGGAAAATAAAAATCAGTATCTTTGGCGGTTTACCACAGACACCGTTCACAAGGACAATAATTATATTATTTTTGGAATATTTTATTTATTTAGCGATAACAAAGGAATCTTATCAAATTTGCACTCGATATGCGTGAGAAATTACTAGATAATAATTATGTGGGTAGCAATTTGATATTGGAAACAATTTGATATGGCAATACCGCACGAAGTTTTTTTTTTTTTAAATTACACTTGCTCAGCGGAAATTACGGGTGTAGACGAAACATTCGATCAACATCGAAAATGCACGAAGTTACATTTTTTTCATAGGTAGAAGTACATAGAAGACGGTAGTGCCGAACTCGAGTCTACGCATATACATGTTTCAAAACCATATTGTGCAATATATATTGGGTACATATATGCAGTATTATACATTTTTGGAAAGGTTGTTTCATGCTTATTACGTTACAGCTTTTTAATTTCTAAAGCAGCGACAATTATGTCAGTAAGTAATTAAAAAGTGGCATACCTAATTTTTTACTTTTCTTTTTTTTCGTCTAAGGTTTTCAATATTACCCACGGCTCCCCACGCGCAACTTTTTATGTTAATTGATAGTCTAACTATTCAGTAACAGAATACAAAAAAAAGCAGCTGCGGAAGTTTGCGGTTTTAGAAAATATAAGAAATAATGTGTGAAAAGTCGGAAAATAAAAATCAGTATCTTTGGCGGTTTACCACAGACACCGTTCACAAGGACAATAATTATATTACTTTTGGAATATTTTATTTATTTAGCGATAACAAAGGAATCTTATCAAATTTGCACTCGTTATGCGTGAGAAATTACTAGATAATAAGATAATCCTATTGGACAGCTGTCGGAAGACGCACAAGAGTCTCGCAACAAAGACTACAGAAACATGCGACTTCATCATGCCAAAAAATGTTCCCGGTCTGCAACAAATGAAGATGTCTTTAAAATGCTTTTGTGAACGTCAGATCCATATATAACAAGTTTAAGAAAACCATACTTAAGAAATGTAAAAAATCTTGAAGTGGAGGCAATAAAGTCTTTTAAAAGTGGTACCTGAAAGTGAACGCACGTTTACTGACCCTGATCCTGAAGCAATATAGGTACCTACCAAAATAAAAATAATATTGATATTTAGTTATTAGTAATGTTTGTAACGAGTTATATCAATCTCTGAAGCTACAGGCCTAATATAGTTTGTTTGTTCAGCAAAAAAAATTTTTTTGTATTTTTTATTAATTGGGTAATTTTGTATTTAACCGTAGTTTTAGCCTTTTTAGTCATTAAAACTTGTCTTTCTTTTGGAATTATTTTTTTTACCATTTTATTTTTGTGTTTTCCCATTTTTTTTACTTCTATGACATATAACATATATATGTATATAGAAAAACACTACAAATTATACATCATTTGAATTTCCAAACCTCACTGAATATTTGTAGCAAATTTCATTGCGGTACTACAAAAAATCATGAAGTTATACATTTTTGATCCGATAACGACCGATTCTGCCCACCGTGGGGCGTTCCAGTGTCGAGCCGAGCGGACGACATCAGCGTGTACAGTCATGTGGAATGCAGATGAATACTTAACTGTGTGAATGTATCCGATTCACTCTACAAAAATAAAGATGCCATAAACAACTCCTACGCATCATGGTAACTTATCACTAAAATTTGCCATTAATAAACGCGACAAAATCTCTCGTTGACACGCGAATGTAGTGTATCGTCATCCCTTTCAACTCTTTAGAGTGTCAACTGGTTGAAAAATGTCACAAATAAACCTATTAGCAATCTTTGGGCATAAGTGGATGAACATGCTGTGTTCTTCTTTTTCGTTGTCGCTTCTTTCTATTTCCATAATTATACTTTGCAATGCAATGTGAACCATCACAGGACTGGCCATATATGTACCTCGCAGCGATTAGCACGACACTGAAACGAGTATAGGCTACAGCTTGCCCTGCGCGACGCGCATAAATACGCGTAGTCGTCAGCGCGGACTGTCCGCCTTACACCAGCCTTACGGGTTCCGTGTTCACTTAAGACTGTGAAGGTCTGAAACGTCATGAAAGCAAATATAAACACCCTGCAACCGTTTAAAGTTGTTTCATTTAATGAATAGTGTTTAGGCAAAGACTGGTAGAAGTAACTGTGGAGCCCGATTTACATAGTGCGAGGTCTTATGGTAAAAGAAAAAAATAATAAAAATATTTCACAGGCACCGTATAATACGAACGCCTTCTATAATCCAATACCACCTTAAGCGACTTGCTGCTAGTAAAGCGCAAGGCGTCTCTGGTCTGGCGAATAAATAGCGCACGTGAAAATTTTAATAAATTGGGACATAGCCACATCAATCTGTAGTTACATAGAGCCAATATATCGAAATATTATATCTATGGTTTCAGCACATATTAATATTGTAAAATCTATATATATACTAATATTATAAACAGGAAAGATTTTATTGTTTTTCGTTTGTTACCATAGTAACCATTGCATACTATAGTTATTTTAAATCTTTTTTGTTTTTTAAAAGACAAGCCTGCTTTTTCGAATGCAAGTCCTGTGTTGTGAGGGATAGAGTACATCCAGACGAAGAACAATTATTAGTAAATCACACGAAAAACTGTCCTCTGTGGGGATCGAACCACAACACTCGATCCGTGGGCAGCTGCATGGCGACAACTAAACCACACGACCGTGTAGTTAAAATGTAACCTGAATAATGCAATAATGATGACAGTTCTTGTACAAAAATTGCTTAAAATTAATGTATAGTGTAATTATATAAAATACCTAATTAAGAGGGGCAGCAAAATTGTCTTCCGCCGCGGGCGGCAGACACCCACGCCACGCCACTGCCGCTGGCGGAATGCTATTCTATACTTATATTATAAAGATGAAAGATATGATTCTTTGTAAGTTTGTTTGCATCGAGTAAGCTCCGAAACTACGAACTAATTATTAAATTAAGTTCTAAGCTAGGATTGACATATGGACTACTTTTTATCCCACAGTTGCCTAGCGACATGCGGGGGAAGTCGTTGGCAGAAAGCTAGTATTGTATAGTTATTAGATGTTACGAATCATTTTTGAGTATTGAGACTAGACAATTATAAAACGTAATTTGTTTAATAACTACACTTTGTTATTGCTTATACTCATTGTTGTTTTGCAGTTAGAGATACCTGTCAGCTATCTCACTTGCTCGTTTACATAAGCTACAGCTACCGCAATTAAACCTCAAGTTGGACATTTACTTTAAGTTTCACTTTTGATTTACCATAAAGAAAGGATTTTTATGCTTAATGAGAAATGCTTTAAAAAATCCACCGTTTTTTAACAGTTTTATACTTATTACTTGGTTTTTTAACGTCACTAAGAAAGTTGTCTCCTGAAGCTAAATGAATATCAACTTCGGTTCCGTGAACGATTTCAATAGCTTCCAAAACGTGTGAAAAAAATGGTGGCTACCAGGAGTAGTTCTGACAGTACCGATTATTATTAGGCTGTAATGTCACTTCCCACCAGGTACATTACAGTCACTTTGTCGTGCAACAATTAATGGCTTGAAGAAAAAATAGTGACAGTAGCGAATTATATCTTTACTTGTCAACCAAAAAAGAAAATTATATTTTTGCCAATTTTTTTTTCCAAAGTACATCTTATACTATATTTAAGTACGAAAAGGTAAGCTTTTTAAGGTGAGGTTTTGAGGAGATGAACATTGACCATTTGACTTTAATGTCCAAAGCGATTGAGCCCTGTCTTTTGAAAATAAAATACATAAAATTATATTAGAACCCAGGGGAAAAGATCTCATCATTTGTATATTTATATCTATTAGAAACACTATGTAGCTTGAATAACAATTCCATTTGGTGGTCACATCAACAGTCTTAAAATAATTTTCCTTATATCAAGAATAAACAACTTCAGAATAATTTATCGATAGATGAGATTCTAGATAAGGTTATTGCAGTATCTAGTTAGAGTAGTCGTTGGAGTTATCTTG